CGACGAGAACCAGAGGGAGGGAGGGATGTGACAGCAGCGACGGAGTGCAGAAGGTTAAACCCGCGAGTCGGAAGAGCGAGCTTTCCGTCTGTTATTGTTATTGTTTGTGAAATTGACGGTAATTTTGAAGTTAGTTTGTTCCTGTTCCGTATTTAAAACGATACCGAGTGGAATAAAAGTTGTAAGCTGAAGAAAGCGTTTGATACTCGGGCATCCACGGTACAGTAGCATATTGTTACATTAAAAAAGTTCTCTTCCACAATTTTTTGATGAAAAGTCACAGCGGCAATGATGTTTTTTGTGATTAACAGATGGTTACAGGTGGATAGTCCTTGTCAATAATAATAATAATTTGTCAAACTGTGACTTACTTTGAATTTCCTTTCATGAATTTATTTATAACACCAATTATGAGAACAGGTTGACATTTCGAAAGTACGTTCCACAGTCAATGAATCTTGTTGAATTTACTCTTTATCATTATCATCTTATTGTCACTGTGTATAATTCCATGGTTGCCGGAGTTTTAAATAATTACGAAGCAACGGGCATTTGCGCAATGTTAATTAGGCAGATTACCTTGAAAATTTCCGATATAGTTTTTTGCAAATTTCTCAGTTTTTAATAACAATTAATTTTTTTACTCTGTTTTCTGTACTCCTAAAACACCCCCAGATAACACCTTCAGAGGAATGACGCCAATTTTGAATCACCCTGTATACTCTTAATTTTTTTTACACTTAAACTTTCCCGTCCCGTTTTTGCGCTCGAAAAACAAACAGAATTAGCTACGACGTGGCTCGTGGTTTTCATTTATTATTGGACAAAGCGCGTTTTGCGTGGACGAAACGTTGGAGAGTCAATGATAAAAACGCATATTGTTGCACATCCACAATTAACCCAATCAAAATGGCTCAGCTTGACTGAGATAAAATGAAAGGAATAGGTAAAAAATGAGTATTAGAATTATCTAAAACCGACAACACAATTTTACACAAAACACGTCATTCAAAATTTCTTGCGAAGGCAATAAGTATTCTGTAGTGTAATCTTGTCACTTGTCGACTGTCTAAACAGAGTACGATTCACAGTGCAAAAAATTAGTAAATCAAAATAAAATAGTAGTTTTCGATGAAAGGGCGAATAGTGTCGTTTTTCGAACGACGACGGCGTTTGGCACCCGGCATGGTGTTTATCCGTCCGGAGTTCAAAAAACAGATTTTTATTCGAATGAATCAAAAATGCCATTTTTCGATCAGAAGCGATGATTATAAAGAAGAATTTTCTTTACTGTTCATTTGTTTTACTTTTACGCACGGACGTTTACGCGCAAAAATAAATGTGACAAATTGAACGTGACACTGTCATTATATTTTTTAAAGTATATTCATTAGAAAGTAACCGATATGCTTTCTTAATTAATTACGTAGATTTATCGACTACTACTGATGATAATTTAAAGTTTACTTGCAATTTGTAAATTATAACTTTGTTACAAGTTCAGTCTTCAATTCTCTTTAAAGCAGCATTAGCAGCAGCGGTAACTGTTGGTCCAGTAAATATTTTGCGAAAAATTTTAAATTCTGTAATGCCCAATTTCAAAAATAATCTCTTGTGCTGATCAACAGCAGTTTCATTGGTTGCTGGTTAGTTGAAAAAATTTAACTAAATCATTGAATTGAACAATCGGAATCGAAAAAGATTCTCTAATTTTATATAAGTTTAATTTTTAATTTTGCAAGTATAGAGAAGAAAAAAAATGCACGGATTCTCTGACGTGATTAATTACGAACTAAAAAAACCTTGTCAAAATCACTTTTTAGATAGCAAAAACTTTATGTTGACGTATATTACCAAAAAATAAAAAATTTCAAACGGTTAAAGTATAAGCATACATTTACCGGGTGTCAATTTGAAAACTTCCTACACTTAATATCTTCTTAAAAATATGACAAATACGAGAGACCATCAATTTTATTTGTAAGGAGGATGTACTTTAAATTAATATTTTTAACCTTCTTGTTTCAACCTCTTGGCAGGCGCAGATTATCAGGGTGACAATCTGAAATGGGAAAGGGGTCCAGTTGCACATCGTTTTAAAGGGCGTTCAATTCTCTTTACTTTAGTTACTACTTTGTTGAGTTTCCCGGTGAAGTTTTCTGAAATGTTAGGGAAGAGTTCAAAAACAGACTTTATTATTATTGTTTACAGGAAAATTGACAACATTCGAACAACTTATAATATAGTGCCTAAGAAGGTCTCATAAGTTTTATATTAGAAAGTAATCTTCCGCAAATAAAAAGTAACTTTTGTTGATGTGTTCGATAAATAAATAAGAAGTAAGGTCAAAATCAAAAATAATAAATCAATGTTTAAACTACATTTTCCGGTTATTCAACAATTCTAACAGTGTAACCTGCTCTTCACATCATTTGTATTACAAGGAGACCCAATACAATCGTATTTGGTTAAACACTAACCCTGAAAACCAAGATCTGAATGTAGGCAAGTTTAATTGTGTCTACAACTTTGAAATGCGATTATTCGGAAACCTCTCGACAAAAAGCAACGAAGTAGTTATCAATGTAAAAATAATTGAACACCCTTTAAAATGATGTGCCACTTGACCCCCCTTTCCATTTAAGATTCCAAGGGAGACATCTATCTTCCTGGGCTGTTGAAACAAAGAGGCTAAAAATTCTTATTTAAAATGTCCCCGAGGCAAATAACGAGACTGGTCTTTCCGATTTTTCAAGTTTTCGAATTTTACAGGGTGATTCAAAATTGGCGTCATTCCTCTCGAGGTGTTGTTGGCGCTGTTATAGGAGTACAGAAAAAATAGTAAAATAAATTAATTGTTATTAAAAACTAAGAAATTTGCAAAAAACTATGATAAATACAGAAATATATATAATTAACATTGCGCAAATACCTGTGGATCGTAATTATTTAAAACTCCGGTAACCATGGAATTATACAGACTGACAATAAGATAGACAAGGATAAACGGTAAATTCAACAAGATTTGTTGACGAAATGTTAACCAGTTCTCATAACCTCGAATATCGGTGTTTAAAAATAAACCATATAACACCAAACATTTGAATGGTTAACTGCAAACAAGCTAGTGCCTGTGTAATCTCCTTATTATCCACTCTTATCAAACAGCTTCTCGTACTCAGTTAATTAACTCCTCCTCCATTTGTATCTCCTTGTGCTGTGTGTATCGTATAAAGGTGGTAGGAATGTATTTATTTGGTGCTTGGGAAAGTGTCACTTATTGTGCTCTGAGTGCCCCTGGAAGGCCCTGATTCAGTTATGTTCAATACGTGTTCCTCTGTGCTTAGAACCCGAACTTCTATCGTCCACTATCTTCCTGTAACCACTCTCCTCGCCATTTGTTGGCTTGAGTTCTTTCAGGTTCTGCTATCTTACTGTAGCTTTCCCCTGTACTAATAGCATATCCGTAAATTCGAGAAAGAAAATTCAAAGTAAGTCACAGTTTGACAAATTATTGTTAAGATTGACAAGATCTATCTGTAACTATCTGTTAATGACAAAAAACATCATTGCCGCTGTGCCTTTTCACCAAAAAATTGTAGAAGAGAACTTTTTTGATATAAAAAATTTTCGTAATT